TTTCTACATGTGTGAGAACCTGTGGTTTGTCCTTCTGTGTCTTCCTGCATGATCTCTTGTGCTCCACCCTACTGGGCACTCTGGCTCCCTCCCACTCATGTTCCTTAGAGCTGCCTACATGCACTACATCTGAAGTGTGTCACTTCCCTTCTGTAGCCTCTGCAGTATATCCTTGTCTCCTTGAGCTCAGCCTATATGCAAGGGACCTAATTTCCCTGCATACCTGAAGCCTCCTCTGCCATCACTCCCCCAAATGCACGTGGGGCTCTAATGGCCAAAGTAGTGTGCCCTGCCAATTCCATCTATTTTGGTACTTCCTTATACACATGGATCTGTTCCTTGTGTCTGGAATGCCTATCCCTATCTGTCTGCTTACATGACTGTTTCCTCATTAGATTGTGAGTTCCTATTTCCACATTCAAAAACACCTGTAAGCCTGATCCCTGCTGGCTTTTTTACTTCAACCTACTTCACTCCTCACTTCAACCACACAGACTTTCCTCTCACACCCTGATGGACTCAGTCAGACTTCCTTCCCCATTATACTTTCATAGGAACATCCTTTCATAACTTTGAATTTTTACATTTATGTATACTGTGTCATAAATGTCAATCTCTGCCCCCTGGAACATAAGCCCCTCAGAAACAAGGGTTGGGTCTGCCTAGGCTGGGAAACCTCTCACCGGAGTCTTGAAGAGTGGTGGCTGCACTAATTGCGTTTAAGTAGCCATCGGGTGCCTACCTTACCCTCCAGAAAGAAAGAGAGAGAAAGACGCACCTCAAACAGACATGGGGTGTGTGGAGAGGGCTTACCTTGGTATAGAAAAATCTCGGTGGAACCTCCAATATGTTACCACTGTTGACCGGTGATGAGTCCTTGCTTCTCCTATGTTGAAGAATAACACCAGAAAAGCACGCCGAGGCAAGGTCAGAGTAGAAATTAGAAGTTTATTAAAGGACAGCAGAAAAGACTTCTCCCGGAGGAAGAAGGGGACCCAAGAGGTGGAATCCGTTGAAGGGCAAATGTGTTCCCCTTTTTATAGTTTTGGTGATGGAATGTAAGGGGGAAGGGTTGGGACACAGGTGGGCCAAACAAATAATCTGGGCAGGAAGGACTTCATTATCACTTTTTTGGGGATGGGCTTATTACTTCTTTGGGATGGGTTTATCTCCAAATCTGTTGGGGGCTGTTTCCTGGGTTCCATTAACATTTCTTTCTTTCTTTCTTTCTTTTTTTTTTAAAGAGAGAGAGAGAGAATTTTAAAGAGAGAAATTTTAAAAATTATTTTTTTAGTTTTCGGCGGACACAACATCTTTGTTTGTATGTGGTGCTGAGGATCGAACCTGGGCCACAAGCATGACAGGTGAGCGTGCCCCCATTAACATTTCTTTGGGGTGGACTTTGGCCTAGGGCCTTTCTGGGACTTCAGTAACATTCCATGAGCTGTCCTGCGTTTCTGGAATCATTGTCAGCATGGCCTCCATTTTAGATTTTACTCGGTATTAGACCCGATTTACCTAACTACACTGACTACTTAATTTTAAATCTGGCTTCAGTAGCTCACAAATCCTACTGACTCCTAAGGCTGAGGCAAGAGGATCACAAATTCAAGGCCAGCCTCAGCAATTTAGAGAGATCCTGTCTCAAAATAAAAAATAAGGTCTGGGGTTGTGGCTCAGTGGTAGAACGCTTGTCTAGCACATGTGAGGCCCTGGGTTCTATCCTTAGCACCAAATAAATAAATAAAATAAAGGTATTGTGTCCATCTACAACTAAAAATTAATAATAATAAAATATTTTTTAAAAAAGGTCTGGGGGTGTGGTTCAGTAGTAAAACACTCCTTAGTTCAATCCCATTTATCTTGAAAAAAAAAGTGTTGAGGGCTCAGGCTGTAGCTCAGTGGTAGATCTGCTTAGCAGGCTGGAGACCCTGGATTTGATCTCCAGCACCCAAGAGGGGGAGTGGGAGAATGAGCTGAGAAATGTAAGATCCACTGAGTGAAAGTCCTTGCTGGGCTGGGTGTGCACACCTATAATACCAGCTGCTTGGAAGGCCTAAATAGGAGGATCTCCAGTTAGAGGGCAGCCTCAGCAAGTTAGGGAGACCCTGTCTCAAAATTTAAAAAATAAATACATAAAACAGATTGGGGATGTAGTCCAGTTTAATCCCCAGTACCAGAAAGGGGAAAAAAAAAAAAAAAGAAAGAAAAGAAAAGAAAGTCCTTGATTTCCATTTTCCAGCTCCAGCTCTCCCTCTGCCTGAGGTGGTCAGGGAAATGAAAACTGTCACTTAGGCCTGGCCCTATGGCAGGAAAACCAGTTTGTCATGGTAGGAAATTGGAGATGCTGAGCTCACATTGGAGGCTTGTTTTCAATTTCATATCAAACTGTGAGCTTAGTGAGTGGGGTGAAGGAGCCTGTCTTAATCATTTTTGTTTCCAGGGCTCAGCTTCAAGGCATGGTACCAGCTGTAAAGATGCAGTGAAGCAAACTAGACAGGGAGGTCTGAAGAATCAGCAACCCAGGCTTGGACTGGGCTCTGTGGAGCAAAGAAATTCCAACTTTTCCATCTCCAGACTGCTGTAGAGCACAGAATGACAGGATGAGCGGGTGAAATGCACAGTGAAAAGTCCTATGCCTTTAATTTTGGAGGAAAACACTCTAGAGGAGGAAAAAAATAATCTTCTTCAGCATACAATAAGAGGTATTTTCAGGTTGTAAAGAACCTTAAAATCTTTATATTGATGAAGAAAAAATAATATATTCTGTGAAATCCAGCTCTCTTTTTATCCATCCATCTCCTTATAGTTTTCTTTTCTTCTCCCCACCCCTCTCTTCTTTT